CTGTCTCCATGAAATCCTGAGAAAACAGAAATAATTATTCCTTTAGTTCTGTCTGCCGTTTCATTTATTATAAAAATCATCTACAATGCAAGTAAATCTTCACTCTGAGTAAGGTGACCAGACGTTCTGTTTTTCCTGGGACAGTCCCATATTTCAGCTCTATTTTTAGTGTTCTGACTACATGTTTTTCAATGTATTTCAAAATTTCTTTACGACTGCGTGATACAAGTAGTACTACAAGTAGTAGTTGGGTTTCTATCACACAAGAACAGCCTAATCAAAGGTAACCAAGCTCGTTATAGAACAAAATTACTATCCAGTCACAATTAGCTTTCGATTAACTTAACAGCTAGTAAAGGTGGGATAAGCGGAATGACGCTGAATGACACACAACAGAAGCCAACCCTCTACATTCCAAGTAAATCACTCGCATGTATCTATCGTTAGCCATTGGCTAATAAATTCTTAGAATTTACTCGCCAGTGTGCGTGAGAGGCTAATTACAAGTTTAGTAATATACACAGATATATTTTCATTCACTGAACACTGAGTGCTTGAGTTTCGCTCTCCATCAAGCAATCACGGTCCTGTCAAATAACAGAGTTCATTTAGAATTGTTCAGCTTTTAAGAACAAGCAGAAGATATGCCGGTTTCTCCGGTAGTGGGCTGAACTAATGCGCAAACGGCAATCTCATTGGCTGGCGCTCATCTGTTACCGTCCCTGTTTTGATTTCAGCAAATCAGTTAGAGCGAACGCTGACAACGTGATTAATATTCATGAACCCAGCAGCTCATCAATCCTTAGTGCATTGTATATTGTTAGTATAGTAGTAGAATTAGTAGTAGTATTATCTTAATTACTATTATCTATATTATTTTTTTTTACAGAAACCCTGAATGACCATCAATATCTTAAGCATCACCGCTAGTCCTAAGTTCAGTTAAAATAACAAATATGCAATCATAAATGGTCACCTAGTTCTGTTCTAATTACTATAGTTCTATCATTAAATAGTGCTTAAATGTGCAGTAGGAGATCTTGGAAAATGCTAACTTTAGCCTGATAGCACTGAAAGCGAACGTCCCACCCTCCCTGCAATCGCCGTCCAAAGCCACACCCCCTGAACGCATTTACACTCACAGATCAGAGACAACATTACTACAATAGGCTACATCAGCGGTTCCCAATTCCAGCCCATGTTCCGAAGTGAAGTAAACTTAAATGGATTTCCCCCGCTCAGTGAGTAGGGAGCAATGAACACTGTGTAGGGCTCATATCGATCGGAAAACAGTTCACGCACGTAGCTCACTTCTAACGAGCTGGCGCGAGGACTGGATTAACCGCTGGGCTACATCATGTGTCACCGGTGAGAAATCTTTAAAAGTTCTACAATACCAGGAAGGAATATCGGGTTGTTGATGTTTGCCTGCCATCCTCACTCTGTCTGCAGTCTGCACAGCATGCGTAAACGCGCTGATGACGTATCCTGTCTGCGCGAACAAGGTGCGCAGAGGTATGCAGATACTTACGTTGACAGGCAGGTAGGAAAGCATATTAAAATGCTCGGACCGAGCGTTTTGATTGGACGAACATTTCTTGATCCTACGCCTTCCACAGAATATATAAATATAGACAAATACATTTAGACCACTTAACTTAATGATTGCTATCGGGATGT